AATAAATAGACATTGACGCGAACCTCTTTTTTAATATTTGTAATTCCTTTAATTATTTATTCATTTTGTTTACCAAAATTTAATTAAGATTTATATATGGTAAACATATTGATTTTGATATCGTAAATGTTGGGGAGAATCTTAGTAGCACAGTTGGTTGGTTACCTAAACTCCCACCTTGTTGGTGAGGGTTCGATTCCCCACATGGTAATCCCCTCCTCATTTTCCCTTCCCCTACCCCAATTTTAAAAAAGAAAAAAAAAAGTCTTAAATGTTAGGATTTTTGATATAGTTCAATTAAGAAGCAAAATTTTAGTCAACTTCAAAGTACTAAATATAAAGAGTTCTTACCTATTACAAATAAGTAAAGATTAATAGCTATACCTTTAATTAATTTCAAAGTCCAAAATATTAGGATAATAATTAAATGACAATTATTTGAGGAAAATAGTAAATGACAATTTTATCTATGCAGAATTTTTTAATAAAGCGCAAAAAGTTCAATCAACATTTCTAAAGAACCTCCATACTTTTTAATTAATACTAGATGAAGGAGAATAGCCTTGAAAGTTATATGAGTTTGCACCTTTACAAAATCTATCGACGACTCTATACAAGGCTATCTCCATTCTCCTCTTTACAAAAAAAAGGTAGAAAAGATATGACGGGATATATCCCAGTAGAGAACAATTACTCAGTACCTTCCATTTTATATGACTGTTTTGATAGGACATAGATTTTAAGAATTTACTTTAATTGTTCATTATATTATTATCATTATTATTAGTAGTAGTAGATTAGTAGTAGAAGAAAATATTAACATAAATGATAAATAGTTAGGGGTCGTTTGGTAGGGTGTATAAGAATAATATTGAATAGAGTGTATTAGTAATGTTGGTATTAGTTATGCTTGCTTGGTCATACATAGATTATTTAAAAAAAAATACAGATTATTTCTTATGCATTGTTTGGTTTGGTGTATTAAAAATAACATGCATTACATAATTTCTAAAAAGATATTTATTTTCAAAAATACCTCCACAAATATGGTGGAAAAGATATAGAAAGGGTTTTGAGGGACAATTGTGTCTTTAACCATGCTAATGTGTGCATTAAAAACCTTGCATTACTAATACCGTGGAAATCCATGTATTAGTATTAGTATTAGTAATACATGCTTTAATACACAATTGAGTGTATAACTAACGTAAGCATTAGTTATACATAGACTGAAAAAGTGTACCAAACAAGGTACTACTAATACACCTTGCATGTGTTATTTTTTCTAATACACTCTACCAAACGACCCCTTAGTTTCATATAGAAAGCCTCACATCAAAGTTTTACATAATTGAGAGTTGAATGAAATAAGATTCTAGGAAGTTGTCATAGTTGTACCAAAACATTATTAATATACTGATATCAACTATTTTGGAAGGTCTAAAAATGAGAAGTGACATATAAATTGGATTGGAGACGATATATTTCCACTCCACTCTATCAAGCAATTCTCGTCAAAATGGCCATGATAAATACATGGGCTAAGAGATTCTACTTCGGGATTTGAAGCCAGTTTCTAAATAAGGTCATTTAGTACAATTAGTCACCAAACATAAGGCACACCCGTGTTGTTGTTTCTTTTGGACAAGTGCCATAAAGCAAACAAGTCTTGTATGGTGTTGCAACTCAGGCAGCATATTGGAAAGATCAACCAACAACCATGTTCATTCATGAGAAAGTAAAATATAAGAAACTAATATAAGGTCAATAATCCCAGTAAATGTACGAGTAGATGACGAAACTACATTTGACTCACCAGTGGAACATTCTTCGTAAGACCTACACCAGTATGGAACATTTTTGCCAGTTGATAAAATGCTTTTGGTTGACCAGCATCAAAAGCTGTTATGAAGGATTTGGACGCTATTTTCACATCCCTCTTCACCCCAATTCCTTTAAGATACATTACTCCGAGGTTGTAGAATCCACCAGCCTCTCCATTGTCTGCAGCCTTCTCAAAATACTCTTTTGCCTGCAACAGAGAGCAACCAGTATGTCAATTGAATCCTAGATAACTTTTTCAATAGAGTCTATACCAAGAATCTAACTACTGAAGCTTAAACTAAAAGAATAATCCTCTTTTTATGAGAAAAGTCAGTGATCTAAAAAGGTGATTTGATGCACGCAGCAAGCACATGAAAATGAACAAACTAGTGAACTAAGAACAATATAGTGTTAAAAGCTAAAGGTAAGCACATGGATAGAGAAAAGGAGATCCAAGTTTGAGCTATTATTTATTGGGGAATAAAAGATGAAAAAATCTCTATGCATTTACCTTGTCCAGAAACAGCAATGAAAGAACAGAATTTTACCTTAGTGTAGTTCTTTTCCACTCCATATCCTTTGACATAGAGATAGCCCAAACCATTGTAAGCAGAATAAAGTTGCTGCTTGGATGCAAGAGTAAGCCACTCTAATGCCTTAGTAAAGTTCCTTTCAACTCCAGCTCCTCTTGCATATATTTCCCCAAGAAGTTCCATAGATCTCGCCTCACCCTTCTCCATTGCCTTCAGAAACCATGTTAACGCCTTGGTGTGATCACGTCGTACTCCCCTTAATCCAAAGTAGTAGAATATCCCAATTTTATACATTGCACCAGCATTCCCTTTTTGTGCCTGGTATTCCAAAATCTGGAAGTCCTCATCCTCCTCACCTCGCGACTTCCTCAAGGCTTCCTTATTTTCCTCTGCTCCACTGTGTATCCTCACTGGTTCAATCACAGGTGAGTCCTTCGATATCAGGAAACTGTTAATGGCTACCTCTGCCAATTCGGCATACAATTTCACAGCTTTATCATGCATCTGCGATCAAACAAACAATCGCATAGATGAGAAAATATAATTTTTTCTATTAACTGCAACAAAAAAAATAGAGCAACCCAGACTCAAATCATAAGAATGTTAGTATATGAATGCAATTTCATGTCTCCAACAGTAGAGCTCCAAATTCACCAGAACTACCACCTAAAACACTTGCTTGTGCTCTGCTAACATCTCTTTTCTTTCTTTTTTACACATCACCTTATAAACGAGAAACCAAATCCAATTTAAGATCTCTCAACACAAAATTCACAATCCCCCCTGAGGAAAAATACCACCTTTTTTTTTCCTTTGATAACCAAGAACCAAAAACAAATTAGAGCTCCATAGCTCACTATGAACCAGTAACATAATGTTTCACAAACGCAAAAGCAGGGTTTTTGCATATTACAGACAATGTGAGCATTCCTAAACGCTTCCCATTCTCAGATTGATAAAAATTGAGGAACAAAAACTCACCTCTTGGCGAGAATAAGTATAAGCAAGTGCCATTTTGGATTGCATATTACCGCCTTCAGCAGCAAAATGGTGATACAGAAAAGACTTAGCTTTGCTCCTCTCTCTTCCAATCCCCATTCCATACAGAAAGCCCAAAATAGACTGCGCGTGGGGGTGGCCAGCCGAGGCAGCCGCCTCGATCTCAGACGCCGCCTCCTCCATCGCCCTTTCATCTCCTCTACTATATGCCTTAACTATCTTACTAACCGAAGAGTAGTATGCGCCTTCATGTTCAAGGTGAACTTGCGGCGCAGTAGCGGGCTCGAAAATCGGGCTCCATGAACCCGGATCAAGCACATAATCCGGCTTGGCTTCGGAGTCAATAAAATCATCGAATCCAGTATCCGACGGGTCATCGACGAGGTTTGTAGAATCAGCGGCTGCTTCTTTGAGGTCTTCCTGAGAGAGGACAAGCACCAATTGGCGGCCGAGTGTAGAAATTGGAAGAAGAGCGAGGCATAGGAGAACGAATGTTATCTTTCGGGAGTTTCGATTTCTCATCTCCTTACTGAATTTTGATCCTTTAATGGAGGTCGGAGATGTTCGTCAGCGGTCGTTCGGTAAATTCCGGTGTAGGAGTCGAAGAGGACGGGAATGTAGAGCTCTTATCGTGTGTTTCAATTGCCACGTCAGTGGTCATCACCTGAACCATTAAGAACATGCCACGTCATTATGATCTTGAAGAAATAAAGAGAAAACAAAGTCTTCAATCAAATATAACATTGTTCACTTTTTTCGAAGCTTTTATTTATTTGAAAATTATAATGTTTGAATATGATTACATAACTTTATTTTGGTCACAAATATTATTGCATATGATTTTTGGAGCTAATTTTTATATATTTAAAAATTGTTTTAAATCACGCTATTGATGTGGAAATAGAGTTGTTTGAGTTATATTCGAGGCTCGAGAGTAGTTAATTTGGATATAATTACAGTAACATCATTAAAGTATCAATGTTAGCGACATTGAAGACAACATATTATTCAAAATTCATAACAAATTTAGTAAGTACAAATGAATTGCAAGGAACATAACTATTACTATAATTTAATAAGGTCATTGTGAAGCATTGTTGATTAACCGTTGTTGTTCTCTCGCATTTTTCGCAGGTGCAACATTGATTAAGTCAAAAGATTTTATTCACTGACTTCGATTAACATTTTACTTACGAACCTCAGGCCTCTATTGACAGTACGCTAATGTAATACTGGTTGATTTAAAAATTTGTCAAGTGATTGTGTGTAGCCGATATATGAAATAACGATATACAATTTTACATTTACAAACAACTCGATTAGTGTAAAATTCGTAACAAATTAATAAGTGAAAATGAATTACATGAAGTAACTATTACTGTATTAGTTTATTACTAAAATATATTGATATATATTTCCTGATTTAATAAACTTTTAACCTATTAACTCACAAATTAACATATTTAGTTGTTGATTTACCTCGAATCAATCTTTTAATTATTAATTCAATTCGAATTGTAATTTATTTTTTTGATTTTCCACCCAATGTTCGAAGTCCACATTAAAGCTTCGATTAAATCAGGATCGTGCAGATCCATTTGGGGGTGGTTTGATATTGACTTACATAAAAAGAAAAAGAAAAAGAAATTTCAAGTCTGATACTCTTCCTAGCTGAGAGTAATATTCGTGGGGTATCGGGTTTCGGCTGACCCGTCCGGTGCAAATAAATTCCGGCGAAAACTCCCGGGGTTATTGCTCTTAGCAGCTTTGTTCCTTGTTGTCGTTTTCATCGTCATGTCAGTAGAGATCAAACTTTCGCGATCCAACCGCATTTATCGGCCTAATGTACTTGAAATCTGAACTGATTGTATCTCCATGTTCGTCCATATTATGCAAATTATCATAAAGAGGAAGTATTCTACTGTTACTCACGTATTCGTAATGAATAAACTGCAATTGTAGGAACTAGTGGAAGGCAAAATCGTAACGAAGCTCTCTTCTTCCATTTCCCATCAAGGCATTCGACTCAATGTCAACGCTTCAGTCAACTTGCAGGTACTTAGTTCTCATATTTTTAGTTTGATCATTCCATTTAAAATAGGTGTAAAATTTGAAGTAGTTCAGTCCTATGCTTTAGCTTACTCGTATGTTTAAAGTCGACATTCAGGTTCGAGGAGGATCAGCTGGTGTTATTGAATCTTTTTATGGTGTTATCAAGCCTATAACAATTCTGTAAGCATGCTTCAAATTCACTTTAAGTTTTAACTTCTTTTTTAATCCTTGCTCCGGACCGCCTGTATATTTGTTGGGGGTTGTCAAGCAATTTTGGTTTAGGAAGAGCATTCAATTTGCACTGGACCTATACAACATACTCAAATAAGTTAATTATGTAAATTTTGAATATCTCCATGGTTTCATCCTTTATTTCCCTCTCTCTTTTTATCCGTCGTGACCAGGAAAAAAAGATACTTCAACAATTCATGCATTATTTTTAGTCAATTTATATATGCCACTCAAAAAATCAAAACTTTTCTCTTTGCTTAACTTGTCCGTATTGTTTGTTGTACAAGAATGCAATCGTGGACAATTTTCTAGGAGACATGTTTTTGTTCACTTTAAATGATTCTGTTGTTAACATTTTGTTGTAAAAGCATTTTGATTTTTGTAATTTGTTGATACTCACCTGATTTTTCTGGGGCAATGTAGGAATAAGACTGTTGAGGTCCTAAAATCTGGTAGGATCAGCTCAGGTACTACAGAGGTATGTTCTTAGAAATAAGTTATGGTGAAATTTTGTTGTTTTATGCTTCTTCAATTCATGATTTATTTACTTTTTTGCTAAAAGACTTCCCATTTGGTAGCACATGCCAAGGTTTGAGTTTCCCCCTCAAAGTAAAATCTTCCTTGACTTCCTGCAAATTGCTTATATGAGAACCAGTGGAAGAGAGGACTTATGACAAAGAGAAAAGAGAAGTCAGCATTGGTACAAGAGTGTATGAAAATTATTGTGGTACTTGGTTATGATATGATCCAATCTATCATGGCTTTTCTTTTCTCAAGTTGTACACTTTTTAAGAATAGACTACTGATATTTGGGTGAGCTGGATGACAAATGAAAGGTCCCTCCATCCGTTCCTTTGCCCCAGCATCCCATCCAAAAAAAAGAAAATAGAACCCCTTCACTTGTTCCTGTAGTTGAATATTTAGAGTTCAGTTGTTGGGATTTCATGTTAAACCTTTTACTCAAAGAAATTGTATCATCCTTAATTATGTTAAATTATTAGGAGAAGTTCTTATAAACAGTTGCAGAAAAACAAAAATGTTCCTGGAATCAGGAGAAATCATATCAACTCCTCCCCTACCAGCTATGCAGGGCAATAGTATTTTATATCATTGTTGATAATTGTATCAGCTTACTATCTTGGGGAGATTTGGGTTCTGAGAGTGAAATATTGCTTCAAAGGAATCTGTGAAAGGGAAGGACTCTTCAGAGTATTACACTTGAAGAGTGGAATGCAACTCTTTCATTCTCCTGTATTCTACATGGCTCTAGTTTAATTATAAACTACTTTTCTTGCGCCACTCAGAGTGGCTGTTTTTTATTTTGTTTATTCCTTGTCAGTTCTTGATTCTTCTTCTTGTTGCCTAGATCCCATTTTCCTTCTGGTTGAAAGATCCAGGAGAAAAACCTTTGGAAAAATTTTACGAAACATATCATGGTGGGGATATTAGCATTCAGGTACATTCCGACAAGAATTTGCTGTGTCCTATATGTTATCAATCTGTTTCAGTTTTCTTGTTTTTGATGTCTATTACATTTCAATGTAGTATCTGGCATCTGTAGACATTTCAAGAGGATACTTACACAAGTCTCTATCTGCCACAGTGGAGTTCATAATTGAAAGCGAAAAGGGTCTGGGCCTAATCTCTCTCTCTTCCTTCTCTTTTTTATGGGTCATCTAATGTATCAGTACATGAAGAGCTCTAAATCTGCCTTCCATAAATGCCTAATTCAGAGAATCTTCCAGAGAAACCCATTTCTCCTGAAATGGTCATCTTTTATATGACCCAGGACACACAGAGGCATTCACTACTTCCAGAGCTAAAATCAGGTTCATACTTGTTTTTTCTTTTTCCTGGTAAATAATCAGGCTCACTTGTTATAGATTAGAAAATTCATCTATCAATAGGAAAGCAGATTTTGTGTTTGTATCTAAACTTAGATACAATTAGGAGAGTAGGTTTGTAACCCTTATTATTAAGTACCAGCTTCTTCTTTTTGTATTGTGAGTTGAAAGAAGGGCAAAGAAGAGTAAAGAGGGGGAATGGGAGAGAAATAAAATAGGAGGAGAGGAGTGATAGTAATGAGTAGACACAGAGATTGTGTCCCTACCACAAGTAGGTACATCAGGAAAGAAGACCTCTTCTAAGTAAGGTTGTCGTAATTCCCAAACCAATAAGGAACGTGGTGGATTATGATAGAGATAAACACGTATCAAGATGTTTTATTTCCCATTTAAAATCATATTCAATGAGTGTTTGTTGCTGGACAAGAAAATGCCTGTTAAGCTCTGAGTTGTATTTGGGAATTTGATTCCAAATGGGATGGCCGCACTGTCCAGGTTATTCTCCATTTTCTACCATTTGTATAAGTCAATACATAGGAGGAGGATAAATGATGCATCAAAAAGTATTTGCAGTAAAAAATCCTAGAAAACTGTGCTTTTTGAAATTTGAAAAATATGGATTTTCAAGAATAAGAATTATAAGAAGCATTAGGAATTTCTGTTCGTTCTTACTCTTAGTACACGGGTAATATTCAAATCCCAAGATACTTTAAAATCAACCCTGGAAGAAGCTGTGTTTTTAATTTTATGCTTTGCATCCAGAATTATGTCTTGGACGAGAATATAACAGTTGGATGGTTGCAACTTTTATCCTGAATAGGGGGATTTAGGGTAAGCGGTAAAGTGTGCACTCTATGTTCTCTGTCGGATCCTATTGAAGGGGAGCTCACTATTGAATCATCTGCTGTTCCTATCCAATCCATTGAGATTCACTTGCTCCGACTGGAGTCAATTTTGGTTGGAGAAAAGATAGCAACTGAATCCTCTCTGATACAGACAACTCAGGTTTGTAACTGCACGTGTAACCATGAAAAGTTTTATACCATACTCCTCTTACTGATATTGTGCAAAACTTTTATATCATACTCCTCTTACTGATATTGTGCAAAACTTTTATACCATACTCCTCTTACTGATATTGTGCAAAAATTTTATACCATACTCCTCTTACTGATATTGTGCAAAACTTATCTGTTTATTAGATAGCAGATGGAGATGTATGTCGAGGCATGACTCTCCCAATCTACATTATTCTTCCCCGTCTTTTGACTTGTCCGTCAATTTTTGCTGGGTATGTGCTTGATCCAATTAATGTTTGTTCTTTGCAAATTCCTAAGATTTTATCTGCTAGCGCCGTTGTGGCCTCGCAAGAGTTTCATCTCGTTTGTACGTTGTACATAAATGTAATGCAGAGAGAATTGTGGATTCCAAATTATGCTTGCAATTGAGTCCATCCAGATCTATAATTGCTCTGCTAGACCATACATAGGAAAGAGTGTGTTTATATGTTTATGCACCGCGGATGAGTTGGATATTTTCCCAGCTCGTATTTCTGAGTTCAGGCCTCTATCTCATGGATTCCCAAAGCAGATCTACTGGAAACTTTCTGATAATTAGATATCAACTAAAAGAGAGTTAACCAATGTATTTCAATCCATAGAAGTTGCTCCTTTATTTTTCTGAGATATTCATGACCCAGGGGTAGTAATTAGTCTGTTTGATTTGTTTTAACGTGCTTGCCTTATGTTTACATTTGAATCCTTTTTTCTTCTTTTGCTATTATACTAGTAGCATAGTGACTGATATAATCATCTGTGCAGTCCCTTTTCCATAGAGTTCAAAGTCACCCTCGTAATAACCTTTCAGTCTGAGCAATCGAAGGTGCATTCGAAATCCAATTTCAAAACTCTTAAATCATGGGTGAGCATCTCCATATGTGTCGATAGTTGCACAAAAAGTACTGTGTCTAAAGTTGTCATCCTCTTCTGTAGCATGCAGCGGAAAGTATTCCCCTTGAACTAATTCGGACGAAGTGAGATGCTTTAGTCAGGTAATTATCTAAGATTGAATAAGAAACTGGATTTCTTAATGCAACTTGCGTTAGTCCTGTACATTTTAGTGTTTTGTTGCACGTTTGTTCGTAATATGTGTTGTGAAATATGTTTTTAGGGATACTGAAGTCATTGCATATGTCAAGGGGCGAAGACCCACTTACTGATACTGGATTTGGCACCTTGAGGATAGACCTCTTATGTGAATCTTTCACCTGAAAGATGACTATCATCAAGTTCATTTGGTCGACCTTATGGCCGTGAAACAATATTCTTGTTCTACATGTGGAAATTTTCCATGAGATGATGCAAAGGATAATTGCACATCTAGATGGATAAGTAAGGTGCGGAAGTGTAGATTATGGGGTGTGAAGATGAGTTTGTTTTTCAGTAAGAACTCTAGCGACTAGCTGTTTTGACTCTTACACTGTAGAAAAGATTGTACATTCAAGCGCAAGTTTGCCAAACTGGTCTCATGCAAGAGGCGGAAAATCTGTCTTACATGTCAAAAAACTATCTGTTATGTGTGTCTTCCATGTTAGTATAAAAGTAACTGTGGATCTTCATCTAAGGTATGATAATCATAAGATAATCCGTTACTGTTTCCTCTTCGAGCTAATTCGATTATACAAGATATTGATCAATATAAACATACTGAAATTGCGTGAGCAATAGTGTAAAACAAATGAAGATTGGCATTTTGTTATGCAATGATCAGAAAATCTCGTGGCAAAGACCTGTTTACATCTTAAAATCTCTATACTTATGGTTTTCTATATCAAAATCCTTCCCATCCCACTTACAGGTTTTGATGCTACAGCTAAATGGGGAAACACATACTACGCCATTTAGACAAGATTCAAACTTCAGCCAGTGCTTAATTAAAAATTTAGAAGCTTGAGAGGTGCTGACCATTAAGTCAAATATTTGAACATGAGTTGATTCTTGATTTTGAACTAAAATGCTATTTGAGGTTAAGTTTATAGGGTAGTAGAAAAACTCAACTTCAAGTTGGAGTTAAAATTGTCTACCTTGTAACCAAACAATTATTTGCAAATAAAAAAATAAAATCGAAAGAAGCAAATAAGCTGACAAGTCACTCACTCAAACAAAGCCTAAAACAATCTACTGATACTCACAACTCATACTACCAAGGTTTTTCATCTTGAAGAAGTGTACCTTTATTGGTTGCAAATAGGACACAGAACTAACAAGCTAAAAAGAAGTACCGTTATTAGTTCATTTGCTCTTGAAGAAATCCTAAAACAATCTATTCAACTGAAAATTCATACACCATATTGTGTATGTACTTGTCACCAGGCTGAACGACAACAGAGGGAAAATTTGGTGTGTTGATAGCATTTGGAAATCCTTGAGTCTCTAAACAGACTCCAGCATGCTTGTTATAAACAGCTCCACCTTTGCCAACAACTCCATTGACATAGTTTGCAGTGTAAAACTGCATGCCAGGAGCATTGGTCCATAAATCGAGTACTCTGGAACTCTTAGGATCCTTGATTTTTGCCGCATGCTTAAAGCCATCTTTCTCGTCTCCACAGTCGAGCACATAATTATGATCATACCCTAAGCCAACCTGCTGGATATCACGGCCAATCTGCTTTTCAGAGGTGAAATCAAATGGAGTGCCTTTAACAGGCATTATTTCTCCAGTTGGGACCGTGTACTGATCAACAGGAGTGATATGATTTGCCCATATTTGGGCTGTGTTGTCGAGAATATCTCCTGAATTATGGCCACCAAGGTTCCAATAAGTGTGCTGGGCTAAACTAACAGGAGTAGCCTTATTTGCAGGCACAGCTTCCATGTCAAGTCTGAGTGTCGTCTTAGAGGTAAGCGTGTACGTTGCAGTAACAGAAAGATCTCCCGGGTAACCTGTATACAAGGCAAATCAGAAAGTAAGTCCCGTTACATTAGTCGAGGATGAATGGCTAGAGAGAAGAGAGAAAAATACCTTCCTCGCCATCACGACTATGATACTTAAAGGTAACTGATGGATGTTCACCCTCCTTATGTTCAGCAACCTCCCACACAGCCTTGTCAAAACCCTTGTGCCCACCTTTGAAGAGAAGAAATAGTAGCATTAAGAGTACAGACAAAAGAGAATAAAAGCCATTGAATTACAAAAGACTTCCATCCACCGACAATAATAACTGGGAAATAGCATAGCTTTTTGTTTAGCAAGAAGTCTCCAGTACACAGAAAATTCCCTTTCTTATTATTAGTGCAATACTTACTGAAATTACCAGTGCAATATAAAAGCAATTCACTATTCCAAAACATCATACTCAATGATAAAGATTCTTGCCAGAATCACCAGACATTTGGAAGCTCACAAAAGTTCATTATTCATGAAGGTATTTAACTTCCTGTAATTGGTAAAGCTCACAAATATTCATCAACAACTATTTATCCATTGATGAAGCTAAAAAATGTTCTTATTATGGAATGCAATGTAAGTCAATTTCCAGGTCAATCACTAATAATGGAACTATAAAATTCTGACAAAAAATATTTTTTCTCAATGAGGTATGATTTCCCATAAGCAGATCATACAGCCAAAAATCGAGTGAAACAAGTAAATTCTATACAATGGTCAGAGATATAGTAAAACCTCCATCCCAACCCTTGTTATGGGGAATCATCAGTGATGATCTAGCATATAAAGATCAAATTTTGGATACACAATTACAGTAATTTAAACACAATTGACTTACCAATGGATAAAAATTTGTTCACAGAGTTGAGAAAAGTATACAATATCTTACCATGGAGGCTGTTTGGGGGCTTATTGATGGGTAGAGTGTAATCAACTCCATTCAGAGAAAACTTCCCATCTTTAATCCTATTTGCCACACGACCCACAATGCTGCCAAAGTATGGGGCTAAACCTTTCTGATCAATTAAAAGAAAAAATCAAAAAATCAGCAAATGCAGTTCAAAGATCAAGACATAAAACAAATGGGTTTCGATGAAAAAATAAAAATTGGCATAAAATTTTACTCGCCTGGTATGGCTCGAGGGTATCAAATCCAAGAACCACATCACCCAAATTCCCTTCAATAAAATTCAAACAAATAGATAATCAAACATCAGTATAAAAATATTGAAAACAAGAAAGATCCAATTTTTATGATGTAGTATATATCAAGAAGGGAATTTTTCTGAAGAAAAAGGTACCATCTTTATCTGGGACAGATAAGGAGAGAATAGTGCAACCCAAATTGGAGACTTTGACTTGCATGCTTCCATTGTTGAGCTCGATAATTTTGGGTTCCGCCATTACTGTAAAAATTAAGGATTTTCAGTTTTGATGACAAGATAAAGAGAAACAGAAGAGGCACGAGGACAAGCTGGTAATTTCAGTGAATATTAATATCTCGGCATTTATCCATTTAAACCAAGATGATCAATTATTTATTTATAACGTTTCCATGGGTTTCGAGATTTATAGATACCTACTACCACGGATTAAACATTTTGATTAGTGGAGACGGTATTTTTTCAATAAAAATATACAATTACATCACTTAATTCGATAAGATAAGACACAAGGACATAGCTAACACATAAAAATATATAATTACATCCGTTAATTCGATAAAATAAACGTAGCAAACACATAACAAAAGGAAATGTACGTAGTCTCCTTAAAAAAGAGTCTTGCGTATATTGACATCCACAATTTCTCCATTTTTGGTACCTTTTGCAGAGTCCACTACATTAAACTTTTAAGTAATCCTTTTGAAATATTTGAGACAATACATTTTAACTGGATATGTCATTCTTTTTATTTAAGAAAGATTTCACAAGGTTAAGGGTTAAAACAATATATTCATTTCGGATATTTTACATCAAATCAACTCAATTTATTATAAGCAAGTTAAAATAGTAAAATTATGCATCAATTAATCATGGTTTATACAGCCACTTGAGAGAACCATGCCTAAGAAGTTAAAATTTTGTTTGTCTAGCAAGAAATCAACATGAAAGATTATTATCTCCTTTATTCGTACAAGATAATTAGTATCATTTACATTGAATCAATCAAAGACATCTTGTTAGGGATGTCCCAGTGCAAATTCAAATTTAAGCTGAACCCAATATGGGTATCAGACACAGGAAAACCAAAAAAAGAAAGTAAACATAGCCATCTAGTGTTACAACTTGCACCTTTATTATTCTTACGACACTAGGGCTGATGCATCAACAAGATATTTAATTTGTGATAACGAGGGCGGATAAATCAGATAACAATCTACCGGGCATTTTCATGGACTAGAATGTTAGCAAGCTTTCCCTGCTGAGCCAAACAGACGCATCTTTTCAGCAATCACTGCTTTCATGGCTTCTTTTGCAGAAGCCATGACATTGATGAGATCCTTCTTATTGGGGCTACTCAGTGCATCCATATAAGCCTTGCGCACTTCAGTATTAACATTGAACTTTCTGACACCAAGCTTTATACATTCCTGTTCATTATAATGGAGAGTAAACTGAAGATTAATCTTTAGATAATCCTAGCAGTAAAAAGGAAAACATTTTGACAAGTTGTCTACCAAAACGAAATCTTCAAAAGAATTGATAAGTGAATTAAATCTTGAAATGAAAGAGCATAGGTGGATGTTTTAGGATTTATATGTCCATCTAAACTAGTTTGTGACTGAAGCGTAGTTGTTGTTCTCAAATCATCAAAGGTCCATCACGACCCCTAATTTCCACCTAAGACTGTACTTCTATAAAGACATTAATGATAGAGATAGGACCTTCAACACCGAGAGATTTTCCACCATTACCCCTTTTAAACTCCATTCTTATATTGTACTCAGCATGTTCAACTTCCCTCTTGCCCTTTATCTATTTCACTAAAATGAATCAATACAAAGATGTTAGAATTCAGTATACCTCTATTATTTCCTTTGACAGCCCAGAAGCTCCATGAAGAACAACATGAACTCCTTTCTTTGAACACAAGCCATAGAGGTCCTGTACTCATAAAAAGAGGAGAAATGAGTGAGTTCAAGTTAAATTAGGAGCAGATGCAGCTTTACTTGGCACATAAATACAGATCCAAAACAATTTTTCGAGAGATGCTAATTCACAAGGAACTCATCGATATTGTTTTGTTTCCAACTGATGCGTGATTAAAAAAACAATCACAATTAGAGTGATTTTGGAATCAACACGTACAACAGATATCTACCTTTAAAAAAAGAATGTTTGATTTTCTTCAGAGCATGCATCAATAAAGCAGACTAATTTTATAAATCAATATCAATGTACTACAAGTTGGAGAATTGCTACTCTTATTTTCAAGTATATAATGTGACATGAATAGGTTACAAAATGTTTAGCATCACAAATCGTCGCAAGTGATTTTTCATAGAAAAAGCAGGAGTCTGATATATGAAGTGTAATTGACCTCCCTCATGGTTTATATTGATTGCCATATCAAAAATTCCCAGGTCAGTAAACTCTGATCCTAAATCAAAAGGATGAAAAGGAAACAAAAAGAGGGCGAGAATATATGCATTAGACCTTCAGCAAATCAAGTCTAAGATTTGGACCACTTGGAGGATATTTTCCATGAACATTTCCGATGCACACTGCCAAAGCATCTATGGCCGTCGCATCAATGAATTCATGTGCCTGAAACGTCATATGAAAGCAAGTTCAGAAATTGAAAAAAGTTGATATTAACCTGGGGGGGGGGGGGGGGGGGGGGGGGGGGGGGGGGGGGGGGGGGGGGGGGGGGGGGGGGGGGGGGGGGGGGGGGGGGGGGGGGGGGGGGGGGGGGGGGGGGGGGGGGGGGGGGGGGGGGGGGGGGGGGGGGGGGGGGGGGGGGGGGGGGGGGGGGGGGGGGGGGGGGGGGGGGGGGGGGGGGGGGGGGGGGGGGGGGGGGGGGGGGGGGGGGGGGGGGGGGGGGGGGGGGGGGGGGGGGGGGGGGGGGGGGGGGGGGGGGGGGGGGGGGGGGGGGGGGGGGGGGGGGGGGGGGGGGGGGGGGGGGGGGGGGGGGGGGGGGGGGGGGGGGGGGGGGGGGGGGGGGGGGGGGGGGGGGGGGGGGGGGGGGGGGGGGGGGGGGGGGGGGGGGGGGGGGGGGGGGGGGGGGGGGGGGGGGGGGGGGGGGGGGGGGGGGGGGGGGGGGGGGGGGGGGGGGGGGGGGGGGGGGGGGGGGGGGGGGGGGGGGGGGGGGGGGGGGGGGGGGGGGGGGGGGGGGGGGGGGGGGGGGGGGGGGGGGGGGGGGGGGGGGGGGGGGGGGGGGGGGGGGGGGGGGGGGGGGGGGGGGGGGGGGGGGGGGGGGGGGGGGGGGGGGGGGGGGGGGGGGGGGGGGGGGGGGGGGGGGGGGGGGGGGGGGGGGGGGGGGGGGGGGGGGGGGGGGGGGGGGGGGGGGGGGGGGGGGGGGGGGGGGGGGGGGGGGGGGGGGGGGGGGGGGGGGGGGGGGGGGGGGGGGGGGGGGGGGGGGGGGGGGGGGGGGGGGGGGGGGGGGGGGGGGGGGGGGGGGGGGGGGGGGGGGGTGATTAATATCAGTCAGCTTTGCTTCATAGTCTGCTACAGTCAAATCATCTTCAGTACCTGACAATCTTCCCAATTCAGCTTCTACCAACATCTTTTTCGAGTGCGCCAAGGAAGAAATGTACTTCGTATAGGAAACATTATCCTTGAAAGGAAGGTGTGAGCCATCTACCATGAGTGAGTCAAATCCCTGTGGTGTGGTTGAAGTTATGAGTTAGCACACTGACATAAGAATCTTTGAGCTCTATTTGGTTGGGAAAAAAGTTTAATTGACCTGGAGAGCATAATAAATATGATCACTACTAACAAATGAAACTAACCATCTCAAGAACTTCCAACAACTCTTGCTTGGAATTTCCATGGTCAAAGTGAACTGTTATAGGAACCTGTCATTATGAATATGGTTAATGCTTTTACGGAGATCAAGAAAGATAAAGAACGTACAGAGGCACAATGATCACTACTCAGATTTTCCAAGTTAATTTCTCAATCATCAAAAGGAAGCTGTTTATACATACTTATGATAGAACTTCAGATTATGACATAACAGAAACTAATTACTCCCAAAACCCTACATCTGGTCATAATTTCCAACACTAAATTTTTAATCAAAGAGCATAGATATTAAGAGAGGAAAACCTTTTCTGGATCACAGATTTGATACCCGATCCAATCCATAATATATCGGACATTAGATGTTTTACCGCTTCAAAAGCCTGTGCAAGTATGCCAAAAAAATCTGGAGCTATTGGATCATTACTAAGTAAATAATTCTTCTTTTTTTATGCTGTTCTATCTTATTGAAAGATTTAAAGATTCCCTATAATTAGCAAAGAAACATATTTCCTTTTGATGGATCACAACTTATATTGTGGGACTACACTGGGTATGTTGTTGCAGTTGTTGATCACTGCCTATATTGATTTTTTCACTTATCCACAAATTGCAGCAGAAAACAGGTTCCCTTAGTCACTATAGTGCAAATCCATGTTTATTGTCTGGTAGGAGCAGCACTGTAGCAGTATGCATGATTAAATATAGTTCTATTTTTATCCATCTATTTTTCATTATTCCAGAGTTGCTACAAGTTGACTCATTATCTAGAATATCACTTACAGATGCTTGTTCTGCAGCTGATATGCAACATGCAATGAGTGGAACTCCTCCTTCCTTTAGTGCACTAGGATGGATCTGGAGAATAAGAAGTGGCATAGATTCTTATTGTAGCACATGAAACAGACATTATGTTCAAATAGAAATGACTTCCCTTCTTTTCCCCCATCAACAGATTAAGCATTTAGAAGAACATATATGAAGATGGAAAACGAGATGGGAAAGTCAAGAACTTCAAATTAAAAGATAATAAATTAATACTAGGATAGAGCTCTCAATAAAAGGACCACAAAAAGAATGTGGTACGAGGGATAAGGTATAATAGTCCCGGCATAAAATGCAGGATTATTTTATCTTACATTTGGTTAGGGGTTGTTAGTTAGTCCCAGGATTATTTATCCCACCATTTGTACTGTAATGATGGGATACTATCGAATGGGATAACTTTGTCACCAATGCCCCATACCAAATAACCCTTAAATAGTACTAATGAGTAATGACATCTGTTCTTCTGAAGTAAAATATAGGTCTTTGAAGTAAATATAAGAAGTGAAAATTTAAACATATTAGTAATAAGAAAATAACAAATCAAAACAAAAAAGAACACGATTCTTTCGTGATTTTTTTAGCATTACCACAAATTTAAGAAAAAAACGTTATCTTTTAACAGTGCATGCAGAAGTGTATTCAGAAGTTGTAAATATGTCAGCTTT